GAAGAAGAAGGATGGTGGCTTACGCCCGTGCATTGACTACCGTGGTCTTAATCAGATCACTGTAAAGTACAGCTATCCACTACCTCTGATTGCTAGTATGATGGAGTCATTGCATGGGGCGCGCTTCTTCACTAAATTGGATCTCAGGAGCGCGTACAACCTGGTGCGTATCCGGGAGGGAGATGAGTGGAAGACAGCATTCAGTACCACCTCTGGGCACTATGAGTACCTCGTCATGCCATACGGTTTGATGAATGCTCCATCAGTCTTCCAATCCTTTGTTGATGAGATTTTCAGGGACCTGCACGGACAGGGTGAAGTGGTGTATATTGATGACATTCTCATATATTCCGCTACACGGGCCGAGCATGTGTCCCTGGTGCGTCAGGTGCTTGGTCGACTGTTGGAGCATGACCTGTATGTGAAGGCGGAGAGATATGTCTGTTCTTCCAAGAGTCCATCACCTTCCTAGGACACCGCCTGTCCGCGTGAGGTGTGGAGATGGAGATTGACTGCATTTCGGCCGTGTGTAATTGGCCGACTCCAACCACGGTGAAGGAGGTGCAGTGACTCTTGGGTTTTGCCAACTACTACCGGAGGTTTATCCGGGGCTTTGGTCAGGTAGCGGCTCCCATTACCTCCTTGCTGAAGGGGGGACCGGTGCGTCTACAGTGGTCAGCTGAGGCGGACAGGGCTTTTGGTCATCTGAAGGACCTGTTTACTTCAGCTCCAGTGTTGGCTCATCCGGATCCCTCCTTGGCATTCCAGGTTGAGGTGGACACGTCCGAGGCTGGGACAGGTGCTGAACTGTCTCAGTGCTCGGGTACGCCACCAAAACTCCGCCCCTGTGCTTTCTTTTCTAAGAAGCTCAGTCCGGCGGAGCGCAACTATGATGTGGGGGACCGTTAGCTGGGGTTAAAGCTCTGAAAGTGTGGAGGCCTTGGCTTGAGGGGGCTAAACACCCTTTTCTCATTTTGACTGACCATCGCAATCTGGAGTACATCCGGGCGGCGAGGAGGTTGAACCCTCGCCAGGCAAGGTGGGCCATGTTCTTCACTCGTTTTGTGTTTACTCTGACTTACAGACCAGGTTCCCAGAACGCTAAGGCAGACGCCCTGTTCCGACTGTATGACAGAGGAGAGGTCCATTGAGCCCACTCCCATACTTCCGGCGTCGTGTCTGGTGGCACTGGTGGTGTGGGAGGTTGACACGGACATCGAGCGGGCGTTACGTACCGAGCCCACTCCCCCCCCCCCCCCCCCCCCCCAGTGTCCAGAGGGTCGTATGTACGTGCCGCTCGAGGTTCGCGAACGATTGATCTATTGGGCTCACACGTCACCCTCCTCTGGTCATCCTGGCATCGGTCGAACAGTACATTGTCTTAGTGGGAAGTACTGGTGGCCCACTTTAGCCAAGGACGTGAGGGTTTATGTTTCCTCCTGCTTGGTGTGCGCCCAGTGTAAGGCACCTAGTCACCTGCCCAGAGGGAAATTACAACCCCTACCCGTTCCACAACGGCCGTGGTCCCACCTATCGGTGGATTTTGTTATGGACCTTCCCCCCTCACAAGGGAACACCACGATCCTGGTCGTTGTGGATCAGTTTTCTAAGTTCTGCCGTCTCATTCCTATGCCAGGTCTCCCTACAGCCCTACAAACTGCTGAGGCCCTATTTACATACGTCTTCCGGCACTACGGGGTACCTGAGGATATTGTGTCGGATCGGGGTCCCCAGTTCACCTCAAGGGTCTGGAGGGCGTTCATGGAACGTCTGGGGGTCAAGATCAGCCTGACCTCAGGTTTTCACCCTGAGAGTAATGGGCAGGTGGAGAGAGTTAACCAGGATGTGGGTAGGTTTCTGCAGTCCTATTGCCAGGACCGGCAGGGGGAGTGGTCAGGTTTTATCCCCTGGGCAGAGATGGCCCAAAACTCACTCCGCCACTCCTCTACTAACCTTACTGAGAGTAAATAGAGCCAACTGATTTATTTACATGGTTTTCAAAGCGTCACACCAGGGTAAGCCTACACGAAACACAGCCCTTATTTTAAGTGTTTCTAAAATCCCCTATGGGAAAAATGAATGGTGGAAAATTGTTCCTAATGTTTTGTCCACTCAGTGTACTCGATCGTATACTTTGAAATAAATCTAGTTGATGATCCCTGCACTACAATTTCATACTGTGACATAATCTTGCCTCTGCTTTTTGTGGGCAGAAGTTAGAAGTTTATAATCCTACTAAAATGGGAGTGTTGCTCTAGGTGGACGTGCTATAGGCTGGATCAGAAATGTGGGTGAAATTGAAGGATGGAGAGTGGAGGGGAAATCGGTGACGAGAAAGAATAGGCAGCTATGACAATGTTAATTTAAACAAAACATTTTCTGTAAAGTAAAAAAAAATTTGCATCTTGTGCCTGTATCTTTGGCTTCGAGATTTGTCCCCAAAGTAAAATTGGCCGTTGAGTCAAAGGCAGGGGCGGTGTGTTCAATAGGGCGATATGGGCGACGCACTGCCAAACGGGAAAAGGAAGGGATTTTTTTTCTAATCAATTATATCATGGCAACAGTAGTTATCAGTGTTGTAATCTAGACGCCTGATCTGCCACAGTGCCACTAAATGTCCAATCAGGGTAAAGTCGTGCTTCAAATGCCCCCCCCCCCCACTTTTGGGGCGATTTCAGTCAGGTTGAAAATCGCCCAGAAGTCTGTCATAGACTCCCATGTAAAATCTATTTTTTTCAAATTTCAGAGCTTTCAATACAATCTCTATGGGTGTCTGAGGGCTTGCACTTACGCGCTTTCGTCATACGTAACGTAACCATGAATGAACGTAACTAAGAAAAGACCGGGTAGCAGCCTCAATCAATTCACTACTATCAAAATGGCTAGGCTTCAGTCCAACTCGATTGTGTCTTTGAAAGAAGTTCCTTTTTGTCGGCGAACAAATGAAGATAAATTGGCAACGAAACAATTAGGACCTCCCAGACCAAATTTTATAATTCAACAGGTTTCTACTAAAGGGGGGAAGTCCTACACCCGAGGATTTTCCAAAAAATGGTACGAACGAAAAAATAACATTGCCACTCAACTGGATGAGGGATACAGGCTAGCTGTCCGCCGCCACAACGATGAGGTTAGTGTTGATAATCACAAGTTTACTGGAGAACTGAGACCAAGTAGAGACTTTGGACAGGGTGGATATGGTTATATTGCGATATTGTCAATACAGTATATCGTAAAGTATCACTATGTAACTCGATTTCTTTCACCCCAATCCCTCAAATTAACGGTAAATAACTGAATTGTTTGCCCCACATTTAGCTAAGATGATTAGCTAGCCAGCTAAAATTTTGTATTTAGTTAGCAGTCGCATCTACAATAGTTTACTGTCAATAACATGTCTCCAAAAATGACGTGGTGTCTCCAATTGTGTTGACATTTTACAATTGCGATGCGCATCCATGAGTATCCACTTTCTGTAGCTCAGCTGGTAGAGCACGGCGCTTGTAACGCCAAGGTAGTGGGTTCGATCCCCGGGACCACCCATACACAAAAATGTATGCACGCATGACTGTAAGTCGCTTTGGATAAAAGCGTCTGCTAAATGGCATATTATTATTATTATTATTATTATTCCAGCCTTGTGTAGGTCTCCAATCTTGTCCCTGACATCCTTGGAGAGCTCTTTGGTCTTGGCCATGGTGGAGAGTTTGGAATCTGATTGATTGATTGGTTCTGTGGACAGGTTTCTTTTATACAGGTAACAAGCTGAGATTAGGAGCACTCCCTGAGATCAGTCAATAAATGATTCTGGTATTGACTTATATGCTGCCCCTGTCTTCATGTTGTTGCTGGACATATCTTTTTAAAAATGTGTGTAGGTCACCTAAATCATCAGAAAAATTGCCCCCCCTGAGAATTTTTTCAGGAGCCGCCACTGGTCAAAGGGCTGTCTTACACCTATCCACTCTTATTTGACAGACATGGGTGCGATACAAATTAAAGGATACAATTGGATATGTAAAACATACAACCCACTGGGCACAGACGTCAGTTCAACGTCTAGTTTTGATTTACATTTGCTTGAGTTGTCAACTAACTTGAATTCAACATGAAGTAAAAAAAAGTTGGGTGAAAACAATATGAAATGTCTTTATGTTGATGACTTTTTGCAAATCCAATTAGTTTTCCACATTGATTCAACATCCTCATGTAGATTTTGGGAGTTGAAATTATGTGGAAAGATGTTGATTTAACCAGTTTTCTGCCAGTGGTGAAAAAAGTAAGCAATTGTCATGCTTGAGTAAAAGTAAAGATACCTTAAATAAAATTACTCAATTAAAGTGAAAGTCACCCAGTAAAATACTACTTGAGTAAAAGTCTAAAAGTATTTGGTTTTCAAAATACTTAAGTATCAAAAGTAAATGCAATTGCTAAAATGTACTTAAGTATCAAAAGTGAAAGTATTAATCATTTCAAATTCCTTATATTAAGCAAACCAGACACCACCATTTTCTATTTTTATTTTAAGGACAGCCAGGGGCACACTTCAACACTTAGACATAATTTTAAAATGAAGCATTTGTGTTTAGTGAGTCCACCAGATCTCTTGATAACTGTGGGAATTGGACCATTTTCCTGTCCTGCTAAGCATTCAAAATGTAATGAGTACTTTTTGGTTGTCAGGGAAAATGTATGGAGTAAAAAGTACAGTATTTCCTTTAGGAATGTAGTGGAGTAAAAGTGAAAGTTGTCTAATATAAATAGTTAAGTAAAGTACAGATACCCCAAAAAACGACTTAAGTAGTACTTTAAAGTATTTTGACCGAAGTACTTTACACCACTGATTTTTGCCCTGTGGGAAACTTTGACTCACTCCTATTTTGGAGTGTCTTGATCCACTTATCAGACATGATTTCTGAATGTCATTGGAAAAAATCATTGTAAGCCAAGTAGTTGACGTAAATAAAATTATGAATAGCCTAGCTGCGTAGGCCTTGCAAGGCTACTCCCCCTCCAACTATAAGATACAACTCACTCGAGATACTATTTCATTAAGCGCAAAAACATTTCAACGGCTAAGCGTACAGATCCGAATGCACATGAAACGATGAATCTGGGATATAATGTCGTGTTCTTCTTATCAATTGCCCTATATGACTCAGGTAAGGTTGTTGTATTCGTAAAAATAACATTGCACAGTCCACTCTAACACAGACAGTGTCATTTGTAGCATATTTACATATTCATCGGATGAACGCAGTGATTTAAATTGCCACTGTTGCTGATGTGGCTCATTTGTACTAAACAGCTCAAGTTCCATCGAAATGTGGTCCGCCGTCGTCCTATCCACACACGCAAGTCGATGACATATACCTAAAACCGAAAAATGGTAGATTCAGCCATGGATATAAAGTCGTCTACAGATGCGCGGAGGGCTACACTCCGAACAGTCGCATTCGCTCTATCAAGTGTGAAGCTGGAAAATGGACACAACTAAACATGAAGTGTGAAAGTAAGTAATTGCCTACAGCTAAGCGTTTAGATCAGTATATATTGTTATTGTGCATAACACTGGTTCAATGAATGTCATGTCATCATATCATTATGGTTGTAACAGTCTCTGGGATGAGATTGTTGTGGCAAGGAGATGTCATTTGACACTTACATTTACTGGGGCCTTATGGTGGTTGCAAAGAGAGAACATTTGGGAATAACATTTATATTCAATCCAGTCATTGAGGACTGCAGTGTGCCTGTCTTAGTGCTTTTTGGCACAAAAACTTCCCTGTGGTTATTTATGTTGAGTTTGGCACAGTATCTCAACCTGGATTCATTCCCTGACTGCCTTGCTGTTTTCTAATGTGTACCCTCCTCCTCTCTTCAGAGAAGAACTGTGGATCTGCTGGGGAGTTATTCAATGGGTACTTTAAATATATGGGGGCCTTGTTCGGGGACAAGGCATATGCAGTGTGCAATGAGGGGTAAGTAAGTGTCTTGAATGTAGTGAAATAGGGCTATAGCCTGAGCTTTTTCATAATCTCTGTGATATTTGCACAGGTTTACACTGAAGGGGATGGAATACAGAATATGTAAGGACTCTGGCTGGAGTGGAGAGATTCCCACTTGTGAAGGTATGTACCGTTCAATGATCAATCGTAAAGTAATATGCAGCAATAAGGTCTGGCCCTTTCTAAGTAGGACATAACATGCATCCTAATCAATTTAGTAGGTTCTGCTGTATGAAATACCAGACTGGCATGCCCTGTACTTGTCTAGGAGATTGTAGGCACGACACGCCAAGGTCCTGTTGTTGAGACTTGACCATGTTGGCCTTGGACATTCAGTCCGTAATTGTCCCATCCTTACAAAAGCATTATAATGTAATGTAAACAAATGTTCCTTTAGGCTACCACAGCATGGATAGTAATGTCCTATCTAATGTACTGTAAGGGTGATTTCTCACCAAACTAGAACAAAACAAGACCATTATTTTTTTTGATTTTCACAAAAGTTAATCCATAGAAGGTTCCTTTGGAGGAAGGATTGTTGACATATTTGCCAATTGTATCTTAAAGCATAACTGAGAAATAATAAATTGAAGTTGGAATATTTGTGACATTTTGGCCTAACCCAGGCCTCCTTTAAATGGGCAATCTGCTGCTACATCATTTTTTAAAACGTATAAATGAATTATATGTACCCATTGAATCTTATAGAATATAACTTATAAATGCCGCATAGGCTTAGTTCAACTGTCTTGCCCCATCAGAACCCAAAAGATAAGCTTGTTTTACTCCAATGTTTGTAAACAAAGTAAATGTAAACAAACACTATGTAGCCTTATTACATGGTTAAAACTATCATGTTGATATCATGGATGGTCAGTCCTTGCATCCATAGCTCTGTCTATGAATTTGAGAGTGCTTACATTTCTCCAGCCCCATCCCTCAGCTTTTTACCGAAACAGGGCCGGGAAAAACGCTTTGTTATTGCTTCAACTGCTTATTACTGCTTTAAGACTCCACAATGTTTTATCTGTAGGTACTACAAAGTAAACATTGGTGTCATATGAATATCAATATATTGTTGAACATAATAAACTCTATGGGCATATCAAAGTTCCAGAGTGGGATCTCTGCTACTTTTAGAGTTATGATCAAGGGGCCAGCGTTCTTGTCTAGAAGCACAGTTTTGACTGCGCCTACAGTTTTGCTTTGGTACTGCAGTTTGTGACGCCTGGCCCAGAAAGACCGTTTCATAAATGGCCACATAGAGAAGTGAGATATGAAAATTCCTAATAAGACACTTTAGTCATCACCTTTGTGCACAAAACATCCATTGAATTATTCAAATAATTTCCACTCAGGCAGATTAAAAAAAAATATATATATCATAGACGAAGATATTAACATTTTATATTCATCCAAGGTCTGCCATGTTTTTGGATGACGTGATGACGTCGTCGCTGCTCCCTGTGCGCACTGAGTGCTAATGCGCATGTGATGTTGGTCAGTATAAACCGGATGCAACCCGGATATAGACGGTTCATGAATTGGAACTTGAGTAGATTACCTTGAAAACAACGGTCGGACATCTTTGACGCAGTTTCTAGTTCTTATTATACCTTAGTGGTTATGATCCAATTTGTAAGCATTACCAACATAGTGAATGTGAAATTGGATTCAAAATGGTCGCCCTCTGCTGGTAATTTACAGGATGTGCAGTGATACAAGTAAAACTAGGGCTTCAATTGGTTACATTGCCTACTATGCCAATTTCTCTGTATAAAATGGGCCGTAACTTTCAAACTAGCAGAGATCCTACTCTGGAACTTTGATATGCCTGTAGAGTATATTATGTTCAACAATATATTTTTTAAAATGTAGCCAACTAAAAAATGTTATTTTCAATATTCATGTTTATATTTTAAAACATTTGTAAATTAATGCAAGGAAATTGTTATTGAAATGAAATTACTACTCATATTACAGAGCAAATGGTAAATCTTCATATGACATCAATTTCTAGCTTTCTAGCGTTTACAGATGAAACATTATGGCATCTTAAAGGAGGCCTGGGTAAGGCCAAAAAGTCACAAATGTTCCAACTTCAATTAGTTATTTCTCAATTATGCTTTAAGATACAAATGTGAAATATATGTCAACAATCCTTCCTCCAAAGGACCCCTCTATGGATGACATTTTGTGAAAATCGCCCAAATCATAGTCACCCGTAATGTTGTTGTGCTTTTTACCAAAGCATGAGGTCATTGTCTCAATGGAGGCATCTGTTTTTCCTCTTTATCTCCAAGATGAGGCACACATTTTTTTCATGTCATTATAGATGCAAGAATGAATTGAACAAAACCACAGTAACATTTGAAATGTCATCATTCTAGAGGGAGGTGAACCACAAGTGGTTCCAGCAGAAGTGACCTGCCCGGCTCCTTCAGTGGCCAACGGTGTGAAGTTGAGTGAGACTGTCTCAGTGTACAGGGTCAGAGACTCAGTGACCTTGGCCTGCTCCGAGGGTTTCCTCCTGACTGGAGCCCAGCAGCTCACCTGTGGACCAGACGGTCAGTGGCAGCCCCAGCTCCCACGATGTCTGCCCTCTGTCAGAGGTGAGGTCCATCCTGGTTTGAATAACACATTGACTCAGTAGGGGTGCCCAACATCTCTTAAGGGTTCCCAAAGTTGAAATCTTTTCACTTTTCTGGGGTGTCCGGCCCATAATCATTGCTGTGGGTGCCTTGATATGTTATGGGTGTGCCTAGTCCTTGTAATTCCAACTCCCACTCTATGGAGACATTGCTGTGTCTGTTGCATAGTCTTTTGAAACTCTAATTATCATTCTTCAGTGATGATTTGTATGGAGTGCTCTGTAATGATAGGGCATGGCCGTCTGCCACAGAGAGACACCAAACTTCTATGAGCTATGTTCTTTTTTCTTTTTCTAGAGATCACTTGCAATGCCCCCAAGGCACAGGAACAGAGGTTGATCAACGGGTTGAAGCCAGTTTATAGATCTGGAGATTCTTTGTCTTTTTCCTGCAAGGACCTTTATTATTTGAATGGATCAATCACTGTTACATGTGGGGTTAAAGGAAAATGGACTCCTTCTATTCCACAGTGCACACGTAAGTATCTTGACATGATTAGGACAACTGCTATACAGACTCCGTGTCAAATGTGTTGTAACTCTGTTTTAACCTGCTTCTATCTTTTTTACCGATGTAGTGATCAAGTGCCCTATATTAAACATAACAAATGGTAGGCCATCCAGCAAGCACAGAAGACCTGGATCAAATGTAATCATATCCTGCTCTAAAGGAAACCAGCTAAAAGGTGCTGCCCTCATAACATGTTCAAGATCTGGGGAATGGATGGAGGAGATTCCACAATGTGTGTCAGGTAAAGGATCTCTAGTTTTCGAAGGCTTGAATGTACTGTAAGCCTAGTCTCTTTGTCCCTTTATAATAGCCTATGCATCTTTCCTATGATAATTTAAAACACTGACATTTTAAACTAAAATCCCAGCCGACTGGTTCAGCATTGGCATCTCCACATACCATTCATATTTTTGATTGATGTACAGTATTAGTAAATCTATCAAGGTCACATTTGGTTGTTATTTGAAAGGTTTTGTCATGTCATAAATGTCTCAATCCAGAGGGAAGACAGGCTCAAACTGTGGTTCCAGCAGAAGTGACTTGCCCTGCTCCTTCAGTGGCCAACGGTGTGAAGTTGAGTGAGGTCTCAGTGTACAGGGTCAAAGACTCAGTGACCTTGGCCTGCTCCGAGGGCTTCCTCCTGACTGGAGCCCAGCAGCTCACCTGTGGACCAGACGGCCAGTGGCAGCCCAAGCTTCCACTTTGTCAGCCCTCTAATGATGTAATTGAAATCCCCAAGCCTGATGGTAAACACAACACCAGCCAAGATCTGTCTCTATGATCATTGAAATATATAATAAATGTTATGATGCATTGGTTTTATACCAGATGTGATTTCTATCTATTGTCAAAATGGTCCATATCCCTTTCCTGTAGGCAGATGTGGAGTGCCACCGTACCTCTCCAACGCACACATTTCTGACAGCTTTAGAGCACAGACATATTTTGGTCCTGGTGACCGGGTCAGTTACAGTTGTGCCTTGGGATATGTGAGAACAAGAGGCCCTAACCATAGTACCTGCATCAGTGGGAGGTGGACACCAGTAACTCTGAGATGTGAACGTAAGAAACCATAGGAAGTAGTATTAATGATGTGCCAGAATATATGAAAGTATATGTACAGTTAGTTACTCTACACATACTTTTCATATATTCTGGCACATCATTAATACTTCTTCCTATGTACTACAGTATTTAAAGTACATTCAACAAAAATGCAACTGCGCTGTCTCAGGCAGCACGTTCAGGAGGTTGCACTTGTCTTGTTTAAGCATTAGGTGGCAGCAGAGCCATAGATTATTTATAATATATCACTCTGGAGTGAATGTTTGTGTGTTTTGTGCCTTCTAAAAAAAATTAATTTAATGAAAGTTTCTTGTCCAAAGGCAAATTATGTGGATCGGCTGGAGAGATCTCTTTTGGTCAATTTGTCTATACCGGTGCAGAGTTTGGAGATAAAGCCACAGGGGTTTGTGATGAGGGGTAAGTTCTATTCTGCTAGTATGTCTATTTGCTCTCGAGGCTACTCTCATAATTGTTGCAGTGTACAAATAAAATGATGCTTTGTCAGATGAAATCACTTTTTGTACCCATTATTACACCAGGTATCAACTGGTTGGACATGATGTAAGAAATTGCATGAATGATGGCTGGGATGGGCGTGTTCCTGTCTGTGAAGGTAGGCTGTCACATTTATTTTTTAGATAGGCTACTGCACCACACAGTATTACACCTGGGTCATAGGTAAATTGCTTTAGGTAGCTTTGCTTTAGTTTATAACATCCCTGAACTTCCAGTTCTGTCGCCATAATCGTAAAACAATTTTTATAATGTTAATTGTGTGTGTGTTTCAGCTGTGCAGTGTGCTGAACTTCCTGAGGTGGTAAATGGAGTGACAAATGGCCGTTTGGAACCACCTTACGTTTTCAGTACTGTGATTGGCTATCGGTGTCGCGTAGGTAAACTGATTGGAGCGAGTGAGATCTACTGTACCAAAGATGGGACATGGAGTGCGCCACCTCCAGAGTGCAAAGGTGCCAATAGCTGTTCAACTCTATAGCTTCTATAGCTGCACTATTTTGCTATGTTTTTATTCCCTTTAGCAAACTATGAACATCCCTTAAGTGTTGAGAACTTGGCCCTGAGAGTAATATTAAGGAACAAACCCCTCAACCCCTTTAAAACCAATAGAATAAAAGCATATGTTGACATTTTAATCTCTGTTCACAGACATTAAATGTCCCTATCCCAGAGTACAATATGCCCGAAGGACAAGAGGAATTAGAATGCCACTTGAGTTTGGTGACTCTGTGACATTTGTCTGTGATAGAGACATGGTGATGAATGGATCAGGCACCGTCACATGCAGCCTGGATGGGACATGGTCTCCTGCCCTTCCCACATGTGAATGTGAGTAATTCTGAAGGTTCTATTCACTGACAATATAACCCTTTGTAGGCTTGGCTTATACATAACTGGAGTGCATTGTATAAAATTGTCTCATTTTTTTCTTTTTTTACAGATTGGCAGCGCTGAAGGTCTGCTACCATTGATCATTATACTGAATGTTGCTAAATCAACCATTTTACCATATACTTTACCATAATAAATTAATATCCTAATGACTGTTTTCTTTAAATACCCCTTATGTCTTCTGGAATCATGTTATTAAACCCCCCCCCCCCCCCCCCCCCAATAAAATATTGCATCAGAGATGACACATGAACTTTTTTTTTTTTTTTGCTCTTTCACGTTTTTGTCTGTGGAATTTTGCTCCCTTTCCCTGAGAGGCAGGGCAGCTTTGAGGGGCATGTTGCTTCAGGAATTAATGAGTCGGTGATAAACTGCCAATACGTGCTGGACGAGCCCAGCCCAACCCAAGGGCAGCACTTTTTGTACATACAGTGAGGGAAAAAAGTATTTGATCCCCTGCTGATTTTGTATGTTTGCCCACTGACAAAGACATGATCAGTCTATAATTTTAATGGTAGGTTTATTTGAACAGTGAGAGACAAAATAACAACAAAAAAATCCATAAAAACGCATGTCAAAAATTTTATAAATTCATTTGCATTTTAATGAGGGAAATAAGTATTTGACCCCTCTGAAAAACATGACTTGGTACTTGGTGGCAAAACCCTTGTTGGCAATCACAGAGGTCAGACGTTTCTTGTAGTTGGCCACCAGGTTTGCACACATCTCAGGAGGGATTTTGTTCCACTCCTCTTTGCAGATCTTCTCCAAGTCATTAAGGTTTCGAGGCTGACGTTTGGCAACTCGAACCTTCAGCTCCCTCCACAGATTTTCTATGGGATTAAGGTCTGGAGACTGGCTAGACCACTCCAGGACCTTAATGTGCTTCTTCTTAAGCCACTCCTTTGTTGCCTTGGCCATGTGTTTTGGGTCATTGTCATGCTGGAATATCCATCCACGACCCATTTTCAATGCCCTGGCTGAGGGAAGGAGGTTCTCACCCAAGATTTGACGGTACATGGCCCCGTCCATCGTCCCTTTGATGCGGTGAAGTTGTCCTGTTCCCTTTAGCAGAAAAACACCCCCAAAGCATAATGTTTCCACCTTCATGTTTGACGGTGGGGATGGTGTTCTTGTGGTCATAGGCAGCATTCCTCCTCCTCCAAACACGGCGAGTTGAGTTGATGCCAAAGAGCTTGATTTTGATCTCATCTGACCACAACACTTTCACCCAGTTCTCCTCTGAATCATTCAAAACTTCAGATGGCCCTGTATATGTGCTTTCTTGAGCAGGGGGACCTTGCGGGCACTGCAGGATGTCAGTCCTTCAAGGTGTAGTGTGTTACCAATTGTTTTCTTGGTGACTATGGTCCCAGCTGCTTTAAGATCATTGACAAGATCCTCCCGTGTAGTTCTGGGCTGATTCCTCACTGTTCTCATGATCATTGCAACTCCACGAGGTGAGACCTTGCATGGAGCCTCAGGCCGAGGGAGATTGACAGGTCTTTTGTGTTTCTTCCATTTGCGAATAATCGCACCAACTGTTGTCACCTTCTCACCAAGCTGCTTGGCGATGGTCTAGTAGCCCATTCCAGCCGTGTGTAGGTCTACAATCTTGTCCCTGACATCCTTGGAGAGCTCTTTGGTCTTGGCCATGGTGGAGAGTTTGGAATCTGATTGATTGATTGCTTCTGTGGACAGGTGTCTTTTGTACAGGTAACAAGCTGAGATTAGGAGCACACTCTTAAAGGGAGTGCTCCTAATCTCAGCTCGTTACCTGTATAAAAGACACCTGGGAGCCAGAAATCTTTCTGATTGAGAGGGGGTCAAATACTTATTTCCCTCATTAAAATGCAAATCAATTTATATAAATGTTGATGTGTTTTTCTGGATTTTTGTTTTGTTATTCTGTCTCTCACTGTTCAAATAAACCTACCATTAAAATTATAGACTGATCATTTCTTTGTCAGTGGGCAAACGTACAAAATCAGCAGGGGATCAAATACTTTTTTCCCTCACTGTAGACCCCCATTTTAGGGGACCAAAAGCATTGGGAAAAATTAACTTGTGTATTAAAGTAGTCAAAAGTTCAGTATTTGGTCCCATATTCATAGCACAATGACTGCATCAAGCTTGTGACTACAAATTTGTTAGATGCATTTGCTGTTTGTGTTTCTGATTATTTTGTTTCCAATAAAAATGTATGGTAAATAATGTATTGTGTCATTTTGGAGTCACTTTTATTGTGAATAGAATATGTTTCTAAACACATCTACAGATGCAAAAATATCATAGTGTCATAGTGTCCCCTGTAGCTCAGTTGGTAGAGCATGGCGGTTGCAACGCCCAGGGTTGTAGGTTTGATTCCCACGGGACCAGTATGAAAATATATATACAGTGGGGAGAACAAGTATTTGATACACTGCAGATTTTGCAGGTTTTCCAATTTACAAAGCATGTAGAGGTCTGTAATTTTTATCATAGGTACACTTCAACTGTGAGAGATGGAATCTAAAACAAAAATCCAGAAAATCACAATGTATGATTTTAAAGTAATTAATTTGCATTTTATTGCATGACATAAGTATTTGATACATCAGAAAAGCAGAACTTAATATTTGGTACAGAAACCTTTGTTTGCAATTACAGAGATCATACGTTTCCTGTAGATCTTGACCAGGTTTGTACACACTGCAGCAGGGATTTTGGCCCACTCCTCCATACAGACCTTCTCCAGATCCTTCAGGTTTCGGGGCTGTCGCTGGGCAATACGGACTTTCAGCTCCCTCCAAATATTTTCTTTTGGGTTCAGGTCTGGAGACTGGCTAGGCCACTCCAGGACCTTGAGATGCTTCTTACGGAGCCACTCCTTAGTTGCCCTAGCTGTGTGTTTTGGGTCGTTGTCATGCTGGAAGACCCAGCCACGACCCATCTTCAATGCTCATACTAAGGGAAGGAGGTTGTTGGCCAAGATATTGTGATACATGGCCCCATCCATCCTCCCCTCAATACGGTGCAGTCGTCCTGTCCCCTTTGCAGAAAAGCATCCCCAAAGAATGATATTTCCACCTCCATGCGGTTGGGATGGTGTTCTTGAGGTTGTACTCATCCTTCTTCTTCCTCCAAACATGGCGAGTGGAGTTTAGACCAAAAAGCTCTATTCTTGTCTCATGAGACCACATGACCTTCTCCCATTCCTCCACTGGATCATCCAGATGGTCATTGGCAAACTTCAGACGGGCCTGGACATGCGCTGGCTTGAGCAGGGGGACCTTGCGTGCGCTGCAGGATTTTAATCCATGACGGCATAGTGTGTTACTAATGGTTTTCTTTGAGACTGTGGTCCCAGCTCTCTTCAGGTCATTGACCAGGTCCTGCCGTGTAGTTCTGGGCTGATCCCTCACCTTCCTCATGATCATTGATGCCCCACGAGGTGAGATCTTGCATGGAGCCTCAGACTGAGGGTGATTGACCGTCATCTTGAACTTCTTCCATTTTTCTAATAATTGCGCCAACAGTTGTTGCCTTCTCACCAAGCTGCTTGCCTATTGTCCTGTAGCCCATCCCAGCCTTGTGCAGGTCTACAGTTGTATCCCTGATGTCCTTACACAGCTCTCTAGTCTTGGCCATTGTGGAGAGGTTGGAGTCTGTTTGATTGAGTGTGTGGACAGGTGTCTTTTATACAGGTAACGAGTTTAAACAGGTGCAGTTAATACAGGTAATGAGTGGAGAACAGGAGGGCTTCTTAAAGAAAAACTAACAGGTCTGTGAGAGCCGGAATTCTTACTGGTTGGTAGGTGATCAAATACTTATTTCATGCAATAAAATGCAAATTAATTACTTAAAAATCATACAATGTGATTTTCTAGATTTTTGTTTTAGATTCCGTTTCTTACAGTTGAAGTGTACCTATGATAAAAATTACAGACCTCTACATGCTTTGTAAGTAGGAAAACCTGCAAAATCGGCAGTGTATCAAATGCTTGTTCTCCCCACTGTATATATGAAAATGTATGCACCCACTACTGTAAGTTGCTCTGGATAAGCGCATTGCTAAATTACAAAAAAGAAATATCACACCAAATATGGAAATATTCTAACCTCCACTCTTATTGTAATAATGGTGAGAGGGTAGCATGTATTGGGGGTATGATATTTGTGCGTCTAACTTTCTCACTTAACGGTTCACCCGATATGGATGAAAATACCCTCAAATTAAAGATGACAGTCTGCACTTTAACTTTAACATAGTCATTGTATCATTTCAAAGTGCTGGAGTACAGAGCCAATACAAAACAAAAAATTGGTGCTCACTGTATATGTATATAATGGTGTGTATAGACCGTATCAAAGAAAACATTTTTTGTCACATGCGCCGAATACAACAGGTGTAGGTAGACCTTACCATGAAATGCTTACTTATTGTATGGACAGTATATGAGTAGAAAAAGTGTGTACAGCAGTAGTTACAGTGCATTCGGAAAGTATTAAGACCCCTTTCCCTTTTCCACATTTTGTTACGTTACAGCCTTATTCTAAAACTCATTAAATTAATTGTTCCTCATCAATCTACACACAATACACCATAATGACAAATGAAAACAGTTTTTTTGTGTGTGTGGAAATTTATAAAAATAGAAACAGAAATACCTCATTTACATAAGTATTCAGACCCTTTGCTATGAGACTCGAAATTGAGCTCAGGTGCATCCTGTTTCCATTGATTATCATTGAGATGTTTCTACAACTTGATTGGAGTCCACCTGCGGTAAATTAAATTGATTGGAAATTATTTGGAAAGGTACACACCTGCCTATATAAGGTCCCACAGTTGACAGTGCATGTCAGAGCAAAAACCAAGCCATGAGGTCGAAGGAATTGTTCGTAGAGCTCCGAGACAGAGATCTGGGGAAGGGTACCAAAAAGTTTGGATGCCAAGCGTCACTTCTGGAGGAAACCTGGCACTATCTCTACGGTGAAGCATGATAATAATATAATAAATAATATGCCATTTAGCAGACACTTTTATCCAAAGCGACTGACAGTCATGCGTACATAATTTTTTTTTTTTGTATGGGTGGTCCCGGGGATCGAACCCACTACCTTGGCGTTACAAGCACCGTGCTCTACCAGCTGAGCTACAGAGGACCACATGATGAGGACCACATGATGGTGGCAGCATCATGCTGTGGGGATGTTTTTCA